AGTTGCAACTGTTGCATTAAGCGTCAATGAAACTAACACAAGGGAAAATGTGATTAAAACGAGGTAAACAGGAGTTCACAGAGACAAAGTAGACCTCTATCATGAGCAATATCCATCGTGTTCCAATATCCAGCTTCCCACCAAAAGAATTTTGTTACGTATACCAACATCAATATCATATTGGTGAGCATGGAATCAGAAACCCTTCCATATGTTTCATACTGCAGGAAGAAAATACAGTCACCCTCAGCAAATGAATTTTGCAGTTTGCTTAAATATAGAATGTTAATTTACTAGAGTGTTAAGTACCAAAAGTTCCCTCAGAAAACATTTGATGGATTGACAGATACTGAAAATTTAGGCCAACCAGAAAAGATAATGAAAATTTTCTAGCTCTCTCTGCTGCCAAACCAAATAGATTGACCATTTGAAAGTGGATTCACTCAAGGGAGAGTTTTGACATAAAAGATGAAAATTCTCTTTAATATATATACACCACAATACTGAGAATCACTAATACCATAATTACCTGCTTTATGCAATATGTCACAGCAAGAACTGCCCAAGACATCATCCCAAATCTGCAATTTGTGAATACTTTGATATCAAAGTTCTTGCCGATACGAGGATACAGCTCCATTCCCTGCAAGTTAATCACATAACTTTGGAATTCAGCTTCTATGACTTATTTCATTACAAGGTTAAAATCTTCATTTTATTCATTAGCTTTCTTTTCCCTTGCGGATATATCACCAATTAAACAGAAGGAAAGTAAAGACACAGTGTAATAAGCTGCTAAGAAGCTCACCCAATAAAAGTCAATTATCATGTTTCCAGATGAACCCGAATCAGTAGAAGATGGTGCAACAAGTCCCTTCAATACATGGCCCAAGTGTCAGAAAATCAGATATATTCTTGAAAATAAGGAAAACTCAGTACAACTTTGTAGGGTGAACACTTACTTTAACATACAAGAAAATGCAGAAGATAAAGCTCCCAAAAATGAGTGCTGAAAATATTTCTCCGAGATGATCGTAAACTATCGTGGGATTGAAAATCCCAAACCTGAGGAAATATGAAAATATATGACATAATCACAAAAGCAGCAGGCAAAAAATTGAGGCAATCAAAGAAATGTGTATATTTAAAACTTATGAATTGCTGAAGGTAAAAAACAGATCTAAAGCACTAGATAATTATATAGCTATCATAAATAATCATAACATATCCTACAGCTTTGTGACCATTAAGCGATAAACATTTTACACATTCAAGCTACAGTGTCCCCAGTTCAATAACTTGAACTTTGGTGCATCAAATACAAATCTAAAATAGCAAACAGAAAAGCAGCATTTTATATTTCCTACCTACAAGATTGCAAGAATAATTACATTCCAAAAACAATTTATGGTAGAAGGGAAATAGCCAGGGTTATCAAGCAAAGTGTACATGCCAATTTCAGACAAATTTTTCAGAAGAATTTTTACCACCAAAGACCAAGATATGTAATCAATGTTACTGCATATGCTGCAACTCCGTTTGCCTGCAATAAGCAAGTGAAAACATGTGTATGAAAAACAAAGTGGACACAAAGTTAACACTATGCAACTACAGTCCTGATGTAAGTCTTGACACTGCAGAATCCACTTTAATGATGGCCTAGCCATACATTCTACTCCTGAAGAGACATTCATATATACAGAAACAACAGAAACAAAGATATGCAAACCTTAGTACCTTGTATACAGGCCGATTTCCTGATGGTGATATTGGACCCTCAACCTTTTTTCCAGGTAACCAAAGCTGAAGTGCAGCCTCGAATGCAGCATAACACGCGATGATCTTCCAAGCTGTTGCTGTAGGTTTTGGCCAGATGTCAATGAATCCTTGCAGGCCATGCTGCCTTAGGTAATCAAAGGATTGCAATACAGACCCATCAGCATGCACCATAGTATACCATCTGCATGCATTTATTCATGGTCAAATTACGGGAATGACTCTGTCAGAGCCTATTTTCCATCATTTCAAAGTGAAACAAAAGCAGTGAAATTGCGCAAAATTTCCATGGACTACAACGTATAGGACAATACCAGTGGTCGGATTGAATTTACTCATACTATAATTCACTCTTTCCTTGGTATAACTGTTGATTAGATTGTATTCCTTTAGCATTATAAAAGCATCCCAAAACAGAGCATTTGCAAAAAGATCTGAAAAATCGAACTAATTCATTTTTTATAATTATTCATATATGGTGCGTAAAGTGCTACTTTTTTTTTCTCCAGAAAGGGAAATACTCCGAGATTTAAAAGTGCTTCTAGTATTCCCAGCATTTAATTCATTTGCATAAAGGAACCCAACAAGCAAGAAAACCTCAAATTGGAAATTCATCGGTGAGTAGAGATTAAATGAAATAGATCCAGAATCGCTAAAATTCAAATCAGATCATCCGAAAATGACATAAAAAACTTACAGGAGAATTACAAAAGGAGGGCAGAGAGTGAGAAGAGAGAGCATAGAGGCGTATGTGAGCATGGGTGAGTGCACCATATTCGACTCCGACCCCATTTCTATCTCTATGTTATCTTCTTCTTGTTGCTCTGTGAAAATTTCTCCGTCTCCTCTCNTGTGAAAATTTCTCCGTCTCCTCTCCGTGTGAAGTTTGAAAACTGTGACAATTGAGTCGAGTATGCGCTCTGTCCAGCCTGTGTTTTACATGTACCCGTGACAGAATCTTTGTGAACTCGAATCTGTCACGCGTATATTTTAAGAACCGTGCTTCAGCGCCAGGAAGGGTGTAAGACAGGACACAGGGGAGTTCGGCTTTTTTTCCCTTCTTTATTCCATGCGAGTTCGAGGGCTTTTTTTTCCATTTTTTAATCCACGCAAGTCCCACGCTGGACCCACCCTCATGTGAGGGTCGGTCACTCAGGTGGACAACTCCTTTCTGGTAGAGGAGGTTAATCCATATTTTAAATAGTCAATTAATTAATTATTACTATTTTATGTAGAAATAGAGCCATTCTTGAAAACATAACCATAAAAAAGTGTCATTTTATTTAATATTTTTAAATCAATCTTATAAATAATTTAATAATTAAAAAATAGTAAAACTATAAAAAAAAAGTGCCTCGGCATGAAAAAAAATAAAAAAGCAAAAAATGAAAAAGCGCGAGGGGTGGCGTTTTGCGCTTCAGCATTGGTTTTCAAAACACTGGAAAAAAAAAAATACCAAGTTAAGACATGGTGTGTGAATGATGGTAGTATTTGATATGGGTTAGTTGCGTGACTCATTGATACCCACTGGAACAGTTCACAGTTCTGTTATGTTTTTATGGAGTGATTTTTTTAACTTTAATTGCTTCAATCTTTATCTACGCATATTTCTCTTCAATTCTTGATGGTTTATATTTGTTTCGACTTTTCAAAATGAGTGCCTACAGAATTTATTTCAGAACACGTTTTGATTAAAATTTTCCCTTTAATTAGTATGGATGATTGGAAAGAGGTTTTACTATAGATTGATTTTTCTATATGCTATCAATTATCCACTTTCATTGTCAATTTGATTGTAATGTGACCATACATCAAGAATCAGTAAGGTTCACCAGCACTTCTACACGTACAGAAGAAAAAATTCTGTAAAACCTATTGATTACACACATCAAAGTGGGGCCCCTTTTTTGTAATATTTAAATCACATGGGGCTCAGTCTCAAAGTCCTATGTGAGAGTCAGTAATTTTTACAGAAGGATTTTTTCAGTACAAGGAGAAAAATTCGTTCACTAAATAGAGCGAACGAGTTTGTGACTTGGGTTGACCAATCAAGAGTTGTAACGTGTGATCCACTACTCATACCCAAAAAAGAGGAGTGAAGCTTCCAGTGGCTTTCATTCAAGTGATAATTACTTAAAATAGTACTTTAAG